ATCATGCTTGGGAAGGTGGAGGGTCAGTGAAAGAGAGGAAGACCCTCAATGAGCTGGATTGACACAGTGACTGCAGTAATGTACTTGATTACATCAGGGATGACGATGCTGGTGCAAAATAGGACAGAGTTTAGATCCAGAGTTCGTATGGTCACTATGAGTCATAGTCAACTAGATGGCACTTAACAACAACAGTGTTTTGAAAGTGGCTTTTAGTACCACTGGTGTAAAAACGGAACTGACATTGGGATTGGGGGAGACTGAGAAAGATGGGATAAATAATGTATACTGCATTGAAACAGGTGAGGACAAAAACTGTTTAAAAGAGATAAATGATTAGGTATTATCGTCATGAGAGGAGTCCAGAATGAAGGCTGCATAGTGTAGTGGACCTGGGCGAGGGATTGTATAACAATGAAAGAGTTTTTCTTTTACTTTTCAAAGAGGGAACTGGGGAGGAGTTTGGACAAGGAGAGAAGTGCAGCAATGAATGAATGAATGGAAATAAAAAAATCTCTGTAAACTTTCATTTAAATTAATAATAATAAAAATAAGAAAAACAAACAAAGAAAAAAATATTTTTGGAAGGGAGCTCTGGTGGCCTGGTGGCAAGAAGCTGCACTGCAATCCCAGAGACATCTTGGTCTGCTGGAGAAGGAGGGGCAATCTCCTCCTGTACCAGTCAGAGCCAATTAGATGGTACACAGAAAAAAAAATAATAATTTTTTTTTAAAAAGAAAGTGGCCTTTTGGACTTTCCCTGACTATTATTAGTTTTAGTGCAATGAGGCTAGAGTTTGAATAAAGTAAATGTACATTTTTCCTAATAGTGTTTGCTTTCCCCCCATTGCTCATAGATTATAAAAATGAAGTATATTCACATATTTAACATAATCTTTTTATTAAGTTAATTCTTTAGGGTCAAATACTTACTATTAATATGTTACACTTGTTGTTAGTATGTGCTGCCGAATCTACTGTGACTCATAGCAACCCTATGATCTGAACTCTGTACTATCCTGAGCCAATCTCACTGTCTCCAACACTTTTACCCCCATTAGCTCAGTTACTGTGTCAATCCATCTCATTCGTGGTCTTCCTCTCCTACACTGTCCCTCAAAGCATGTCTTCTTCAAGGACTGCTCCCTCCTGGTTACATGCTCCAAGTATGTGAGATGGAGCTTCAAAATCCTTGCCTCCAAGAACAAGTTGGTTTCACCTTCTCCAAGACAAACCTATTTGTTCTCTGTGAGGGGGTAGAGTGTGTGTCCGTGGCATGTTCAATACTCTCTTCCAGCATCATAACTCAAAAGCATAGATTCTTCTTATATCATCCTTAGTCATTATCTAGCTCTCTGATGCCTAGCAAATAATTCAGACCATAACCTGAATCTGGTGCACCTTAGTCTCTAGAATGACATCTTTTCTCTTTAGGTCTTTGGAGAGGTCCCGGACAGCAGATTTTCCTAGTGCAATTCATCTTTTGATCACCTAGTCCTTTGGTAGTGCCAAGAATGTGGAATCAAGGAAGCTGAAATTGTTAAACTCTATTTCTTTTCCATCTATTATGATGCCGTCAGTTGGCCTGGCAGTCAGAATCTTTGTTTTCTTGACATTGAGCTTTAATTCATATTGAAGTCTATAGTCCTTGACCTTCTGGAGCAATTGTACCTTTAATATTCTTGGACTCTTAACTAACTTAAAAGGTAAATATTCAAGTACTTATATTCAACTGCCTAACTAAATCATGAGTTTCCTGGAAATAGATATTATGTTTTCTTTTTGTATTACACACAAAGATTTTGTTCAGCACATAACCTTTATGGCAGGTAGTCAAATAAATGTTTGTGGACAAATTGAGTAAGTGAATAAATATATTCCTTTCTTACTTTGCCTAATTGTCTCAGTGATTGCAAGAATGATGCCAATAAAATAAAGGAAACAGACTTGATCCAATAACTGCATAGAAAACTCCTTTCTGTAACATTTGTTCTTTTTTTTATTTGGTAACATTTGTTCTTAACTGCTAGTTTATAAATGTCTTACTTGCTATCTTGTAAATGTTTATAAGAGGGTATTATATGAACAAATTCAACCCTTAGTCACACATAAAAACAGATAATTTTAAGCAAGGAAGAGAGGCATGTACAGAGGATAGGGTTTTCTTTGGCAATCTATTAAACAGGCAGGAATGAAAGTTTTTGGCTAATCAACAGTTCTTGGCAGCTTTCTTCATGCTAAGTTCCATGACAGCAGAGAGCTTTCCTCCTCCAGCGTGCTGAATCTTGCTGCAGTTTTTCTTAAACCTGCTTGTTTCAGAGTTAGGTAAAGTTTCAGACAACAGCAGCTATAATTTGCAAAGAAATAAAACAAAAAGACTTGTACCTAATTCTCCTCACACATTGATTCTTCTTATCTTTGGAGGGATGTGATGCTAAGTTTTGCAAATGAAGGTAAAACTTAACTTACATAATAAATTTTACAAGTATTAGTCAGTAAAAATAAGCATGACTGATTTTTTTATATATGTCATTGCTGTTGTATACCATAGAATTGGAACCGACCCTCCAGTGTGTTTTCAGAAGCGATTAATTGCACAAGAGGAGATTGCCCCTCCTTCTTCCGCAGAGCAGCTGGTGGCCTTGAACCCGTATGCCATTGGAATTTCTGTGCAGCTTCTTGCCTCTAGGCCACCAGAGATAAATATGTAGATCTATATATCTCTATATCTATCTATCTATCTATCATCTATCTCTATCTGTCTATATTTATATCTCCAATATATCTATATTTGTTATAATTAGGAGAATATTTTCGTCATTGGAAAGGAAGAGACTTTAATCTTTGTCACTTTAAAGGCATGTCAACAATCTATGTTATGTAGATGACGCAACCCTGCTTGCTGAAATTGAGGAGGACCTGAAGTGCTTGCTGCAGAAGGTCAAGGGCCATAGCCTTCAATATGATCAAGAAAACAAAGATTCTCACCACTAGCCTGAATGGTAACATTATGATAGATGGTGAAGAGATTGAGACTCTTAGCAGTTTTAATTTGCTTGGCGCCACAGTCAACAGTCTTGGTACCAGCAACCAGGAAATAAAGAGACAAATTGCATTGGGAAAGTCAGCTGTCAGGGACCTCTCCAGAGTACTGAATAGCAATGATGCCAGTCTCAAGACTAAGGTGTGCTTGATCCAGGCCATAGTCTTTGTGATTGCTTGCTATGCGTCAGAGAGCTGGACCGTGACTAGGGATGATTGAAAAAGAATTGATACTTTTGAGCTGGGTGCTGAAGAAGAGTATTGAATATACCATGGATTGCCAGGTGTAAAAACAGGTTTGTCCTAGAGAGGGTTGAACCAGCATGCTCCTTGAAGGTAAGGATTCTGAGGCTTCATCTGACTTACTTTGGGCATGTTGCAAGGAGGTATCAGTCCTTGGAGAAGGAGCAGCATGTTTGGAAGAGTGGAGGGACAGAGAAAGAGAGGAAGACCATCGATGAGATGGATTGATTCAGTGACTGAGGTAATGAGGGTAAGTGTGTCAAAGACAGTAAAGTTGGCACAGGGTACAGTAGGTTCCAGGGCTATTGTACATAGGGTTACTATGGGTCACAAGCGACATAACAACATACTGTATATAATAGGGAGCTCTGATGGCCTAGTGGCAAAATGCTATGCTACAGTTCCAAAGCATGCAGTTCAAGGCCACCAGCTGCTCTGTAAGAAAATCTGATGGATAATCTCCTCCTGTGGGAGTAACTGCCTCTGAAAACCCACCAGAGTGTCAGCTATGGGTTGGTTCCTACTCTATGATACTCAACAACAATAATAACAATAAATTATATCAATAGTTGTCATGCATCTGAGAGTTAGATAATGAATAAGAATGACAGAAGAGTTGATGCCTTTGAGTTGTGTTACTGGAGAGGAGCACTGAATATTCCATAAACAAACAAAATAGGAACAAAAGAACAAACATGTCTTAGAAAGTACAACGATAGTGCTCCTTGGAAGCAAGGATGGTCAAGTTTCATTTCACATACTTTGAGTGTGTTGTTAAGAGAGGCTATTCCTTGAAAGGAGGCATCATGCTTGGAAAAGTGGAGGGTCACAAAAAGAGAGGAAGACCCTCTAGCAGAAGGATTGACACAGTGACTCCAGCCATGGCCTCAAGGATGGCAGAGATGATGAAGATGGCACAGGCTAGGTCAGAGGTTAGAGCTGTTGTTTGAGGGGTTGCTGTAAGTCATGCTTAACTCTACAGCAACTAACAACAACAACCTACTCTATCCCGGGGAGTTTGGGTGGGAGTTGCACTGCTAACCCAAAGGCGGTGCCTCTCTGCTGGTTTGAATCCATCAGCAGCTTTAGGGAAGATGAGCAATTTCCTGCTGTGCAATTACCCTTGTGCAAAAACTGGATGGAGGATCAGCTATGAGTCAGTTCTGACATCAGGGCAATGAAAGAAAGAGATTGATACACTGTATCCAAGTACAGGGGGAGTTGTTTTAAAAGTAAATATGTAATATTTTGATAATATTGTACAATATCCATATAATGCTCTTTGGAGGCAAGAATAATGAGGCTTTACCTTACATCCTTTGGATATTGTGCTAGGAGGGCCTACCTTGGAGAGGCATATCTTAACATTGAGTTAACAAAGCAGTTAACGTTTTGTTACAGAGGTTACTGCAATAAAGGAAATAAATTCATTCAAATGGGGGAGGGAGTAAATATTCTTCTAAGTATCTTTTTCTCTTTCACTACCTGAAACTTGGAAAAATATGAACAAAAGAATACTCTGGTCAGTTTTAACTTTGACATTACTCTTTACCGACCCCATCTCGAAAGTCAAAGACAACCTCCTTTACTTCCCTGAAGCCTGGGATTCTTGTAAGCAAAGCCAGTGTCCTGCATAGCGCACAGCTCTGGACTGTGAACTTTCCTCACTGCTAACATTTGAAGGCATAACACTCTTTATTCTCATCCTGTTGGCAGATGATAGACGGCCATGACAGCAAAAAGGTCAATATCCAGTTCCTCCGCTCGAACATTGGAATTGTTTCCCAAGAGCCAGTGCTATTTGCTTGTAGCATAGCAGACAACATCAAATATGGGGACAACACCAAAGACATTCCCATGGACAGAGTCATAGAGGCCGCAAAGCAGGCTCAGCTGCACTCCTTTGTCATGTCCCTCCCAGAGGTGAGTACGTGCCAGTCGTTTGCTTTGGAGGAGGGGAAGGGTAGAGGTAGAGTGACCAAAAGTGTGATGACTGTAGGTCAAGGACAACACCATTAATTTCCCAGTCCCCTTGGATAGGACAAACATTGACTAAATATTCTTTGTCAATTCCTGTACTTTTGAAAGTTGCACTGTTTAATACAATGGATGCTACAGAATTTATTGCACACAGAATAGTATTCCATTAACCATCAGCTTAGAAGTAGAAAAAAGCTGAAGTTTGATCCCGCTTCTGCCACTTACTAGCTGTGTCATTTTGGGGTAGCAAGCTATATATCCCAAGATTTAGACCATCTCATTTGCAAACAAACAAAAACAATAGTACAAATAATAGCCACACAATGAAAACTGCTATTGTTAATATCATCATAATTCTTGCACTGCTTGATAAGATCTGTACGAGCACAGGGCACATTGTATGTTGGCATATCCTGCTTTTCCTTGTTGTTATTGTTGTTGTGTGCCATTGAATTGGAGCCTACCCACAGCCGACCCTCCAGACTGGTATTAGAGGCAGTAAATCACAAGAAAGGAAATTGCTTATCTTTCTCCTACAGAACAGTTAGTGGATATGAACAGCAAGCTTTTGGGATTGCAGTGCAGCCTCTTACCACTAGACCTCAGAGCTCCCTACTATTCCATGTTGTAATTGTTATTGTTACATAACATGGAGTCGAGTACGACTCATAGCGATCCTATGAACGACAGATCTGAACCCTATCCATTCTTGTGCCATCCTCACAATCTCCAACACACTCACACCCATTGATGGCATCATTGTGTCAATCCACCTGTTTGAGGGTCTTCCTCTCTTTTGCCATCCTGCTACCTTCCCAAGCAAAATGTCCCACTCCAAGGAATAACCTTCTCCTAGCAACATGTTCAAAGTATGTGAGAAGAAGTTTCGTTGCAAGTCTAAATTTAAAGCCATATTGACTGGTATATATGCACAAAAAAATATTTCTTGATGATTGATGACAGGAAAATTAAGACAGGGAAACCAGATGTTGAGAGTCTTATTTTACTTTCTTCACTCTCTTTAGAATATCACTATGAAGTTCTTTTCCTTTGTAAGTAACTATGCTTATAAATTTTATAGTATTTGTGGTAGGCTTTGTGTTGTTTGTGTTTGTCCCCCCCACCCCCAAAGACTCACCAGTCTCAAGCTCTTGGCTTGATTCCAGCTGGGTAATCTAATCCTCAGACATTGAATTGACCCTTGTGGAATTGTAGACTTGACCTTCCCTGCTGCATTCTGAGTTGAAAAGGAAAACTTGTGTATCCCCTGAAAGATTCATTATTCCACAAATCTTTTGTGAGGGCCATTTGTTTTGTACTAGACTTTGGCATGGAGTTAGTTTATTGCCTCTTTGTCATGCAGACTTGCCCATAATCCCCCTCACTAAGCACTTTTTCTCCATAAGGACAAAGTAGGTTGTCACCAGTCTTCTGTGGCTGAGCTGAGAATTTATCAGGAAGTAGGGAAAGCAGGAGAGGCAAACAGACTTTATTCTAAAGGACAGGGGAGGATAGTGGCCAAGGACAAGGGCGGGAAAGCTAACAAAACTGGATTCATATTTCACCTTCACTGCTTCTTACTTGCCTGTCCTTGTGACATTTTCTTACCACTTCTCTGCTTAAGTTTTATCATCTCTAAAATATAGAGAGTATGGTTTTATATGACTATTAAATGATAATCAAAAGTTAGAATTGTTAGCATAATTCTGAGGATATAGTGACTATTCCATGAGTATTAACTAGTTATTTAAATATAGCTATGGCAAACATCTAGCTAGAGACTAATTTTTTTTTTAAATAATTTCATCATTTCACAATGAAACCTTGACCAAGGTATAGAGCTCTGGTAACCTAGTGGTTAAAGAATTATGCTGCTAACCTAGAGACAGGCAGTTCGAATCTGCCAGCTGCTCCTTGGGAGAAAGATGGGCAATGTCCTCCCAGGTAATTTACACTGTCTGAAAACCTGCTCTAGGGTCGACTATGAGTTAGTTGTGGCTCAATGGTAATGAGTTTTGAGGTATTAATACCTGAATTTTTTTAGATGAGTTTGTAGCTCAAAGATGTTGAAATCATTTGTCTGTGAAATCTGAGATGATAAGAGGCAGAATGGAGTTCTGATTCGAGACTTGGGTTCCAGGATGAAGCTTTCTTATAATAAGGGCCCCTCCCTCCTTGGGACTGCCACCCTCTTGGAAAGATCTTCCCAACTGGAGTCACAGAGTTGGTTAATTCTTCAGTAAGAAAAATCTTCATATACTGAATTGTTACTAGCCATAGGGAGAAAGAAATGGAATATTTCTATCAGAAATGGAGTAAAGGTGGAATATAGTCCTCTGTTTCCTAACACTAAAGGTTACAAACTCCATATTTTTCTTATATCTCCAAGGACATTGGGCTTAAAAAAAAATAGAAGGACTCACTTATTTTTTCTCAACTTCAAAAATAGACAAAAATGAAATTCACTGATAGTCATTGACGTGGGGCTCCGTGTGGCACACGAAAAGTGGCTGTCTCTGGGGTTCACATTTCCCACACTTTTCCTCAGAAATATGAAACTAACGTTGGAGCTCAAGGGTCTCAACTCTCTCGAGGAGAGAAACAACGCATTGCTATTGCTCGGGCCATCCTACGAGATCCTAAAATTTTGCTACTAGATGAAGCTACTTCTGCCTTAGACACAGAAAGTGAAAAGGTATGTATTGCTTTTCTAAAGTCCTAGACTATTATGAATGAGTCTTTGGGTGGTAGATTTATCCTTATAAAAATGACACTATTTTCAATTTTCTGATCCATTAGCAGTAGAAATGGGTAATATGATATGGAACCAAAAGCCAATAATTTAAAGAAGTGATTTAAAATATGATTGCTTCAAATAAAAAAGATTCCTTTCACTTTGAAGCACGGATTATTGTTAAGATTGCTTGTGCAAGGTGATGCTTGAGGCAAAATAATTAACTTTCTTAATAAAGGTAAAAGAATTATAGTTTTTACTTTTTTAACATTTTTTAAGGTAGAATAATTTTTGAGTTATTTATTGGACACTTACTACATCATAGTTCAAAGTTATGTGGCAGAATAGGTGGGTAGCCTAGAACATAAAAAAAGCAGTAAAAATAAAATAAAAAAGGAGCAGTATATGATATGCAACACAAATGAAAAAAGATGTAATTGCACAAAACCCAATTATGAACAAAAACAATTATGAAATGTAGCATTTACTAATTAAACAAATAAAGCTAACCACTGTCACTTTTGACTCATAGCTTCCCTCCACTGGGTTTCCGAGTTCCAAGTCTTTATGGGAGGAAATTGCCCAACTCTCACCTGAGGAGCAGTTGATGGGTTTGACCTGCCAACCTTTTGGTTAGCAGCTCTAAACTTTAAAAAAATCAGTAGTCCATTTTGTAGAACCAAAATGTCCTCAGTGGTAAATAGACCAGGAATGACCATTTGACTGCTACTCAACCTTTTTTTCCTTTTTACGAACAAGACCATTAAGTATTGGAAAATAACATAGTGACCTCACAGATTGGTTTGACATTGTTTCCCTAAAATATTTGTATTGAAAGCATTGTACTCAGTAAGTGCTTACTTGATCTCTTACATAGGGTTTTAGGGTTCACCTTCACATACAGCACGTCCCTGTGTGGTACAAAGTTTGTACTCAGTTACTAAATTCATTGAGCTCTCTGGTGGTTTAGTCTTTAGGGAGTTGTGTTACTAACCAAAAGGCCACACTTCTGTGGCGGTTTGAATACCCCAAGGGCTCGGTGGAAGAAAATGAGCAATCTCCTTCCTGCAATTAATGGTCTCTTAAAACCTGAGGGAGGGAGATCTGGTGGCTGGTGATAAGAAGCTGCACTGCAATCTCGAAGGTACATGGTTTGAATCCACCAGCGGCTCAGAGGGAAAAGAATGGGTAAAATCCTCCCGTGTGATTTAATGCCTCTGAAAACCTGCTGGAGGGTCTGTTTTGGATCAGTTCCAACTTGATGGTGCACAACAATAAAACTTGGTGGAGCCTCAGCTGTGTGTGAGTTGGTTCTGACTTGAAGGCAATGTGTAAATGACTGACTAACGTCGCTTAGTTGTTTGAACTCACCTAGTAGCACTGTGGAAGAAAGGCCTGACAGATTACTTCTGTATAGATCATAGGCAAGAAAAACTGTATGGAGCAGTTCTGCTCTGTGACATAATGGGTCTCCATGAGTCAGAGGCAACTTAATGGTAAACATTTTAATGGTTGTTTGTTTTTGTGTTTTTTATAGCACTAGGACTCAGATGTTACTAAATTAAACTTTTATGACAGACAGCTTGAAAATAACCATGAACTTCCATTTCAACCACCTATTTTCTCTTTGCAGACTGTACAAGTGGCCCTGGACAAAGCCAGAGAGGGTCGGACCTGCATTGTTATTGCCCATCGATTGTCCACCATCCAGAACTCAGATGTCATTGCTGTCATGTCCCAGGGGGTGGTGATTGAAAAGGGGACCCATGATGAACTGATGGCCCAGAAAGGAGCCTACTACAATCTTGTCACCACTGGAGCCCCCATCAGTTGATCTGACTCAAGCCAAATAGTGACAGAAAATGCACCAACTATAGGACTCCTGGGGGAAAACTCTTTAAGGAGAAACACTTGATATTTTACCTTCACAGTCATGTCATATTGTGGGATTCAGGCTCATTTTCTATGCCTCACAATGATGATTCCGTTTTAGAAGTCTATGTACAGAAAACGAAAGGTCAGAGTGGGTGAGATCCTTCCCAGCATTGTTCAGCCATTACCCAGCGCTTTTCCTGTGCATCAACTCTGAATCACGAGAGTCCCATGCTTGTTACTATGGAATTGTGCTCCTTAGGATTTTCAGTGTCTGATTTTTCCATAGTAGATCACCAGGCCTTTCTTCTGAGGTGCTTCTGAGTGATTCAAACTCCCAACTTTTCAGTTAGCAGCTTAGTGCACAAGACTCTCCTCTCTATTGGAGTTGGTACCAGGAATCTATGAGACGAGGAGTTCAGAGTCTTTTGTATTTGCAAATGTTTAGTGTACATAGAGCCCAGAGTAGAATAGGTACATAATCAAATTTGTTGAGTTAGGCCAAATTTTATGTGGGAAGAAAAAGAAAAAAGACTGAACACTAGCGGTACAAGAGAACAGATTCCTTCATCCTTAGGCATGAGGACAGGCAAGTTAGATTACTGCCACACAGGATTCTGTCAGACTGAGGGATCCAGAAAAACAAGGATTAGCAGGCACTTGCCATTAGGAGGCCCCATGACACAACGGTTAAGTACTTAGCCGCTAACGGAAAGGCCAGCAGTTTGAACTCACAGACTGGGGGGAGGAAACTGTGACAGTGAGCTTCAAAAAGTCCATGACCTTGGGAGCCATATGGGACACCTCCAGCCTCAGAGCTATTGTATGAGTCAGAATCGCCTCAAAGACACAGCGTTATACTAAGTGAACTCAGTCCCATAAGGATGAATACTGTATAAGACCTTTATTGTAGAATGAGTACAAGGATCCAAGGTGGGGGAGCTGCTTAATCATAGAGTCACATAATTTGATGGGTGGAGGGAGGAGCAGGTAAAGGAAAGGGGAAAGATCCGGTGTGAGAAACAATGTATATGAACTTGGTATGTAAGCCACTATAAAATAAAATAATAATTTTTAAAAAGAGAAAAAATGGGCAAAACAGGCCTTTCAGGGAAGGAACCCTGAAGGTACAAGTGTTCTGCTACTCACCATCTGCTCGAGGAAGGAGACCTGGCAATCTACTCTTGCAAAGAGTACAGCTGTGGAAACACCATGGGACAGTTGTGCTCCATCACACAGGGTTATTGTGAACCAGAATTGACTCAATATTAAAAGCCAGTAGGGATAGTAGTTTAGGCTGTGAATTTAGGGCATATTGCATAAATGGCGGAGTCAGCAGTGACTAAGCAAGAATTTGCCCTGTCCCTCCCCCTGTCCCAAACCACCCCATCCCCCATTCTGAGGAAGAAAGCTGTAGAAGTCAGCTCTAGTAATGCTTTATAGCCTCGGAAGCCCTGTGGGCAGTTCTGCTCTGTTCTTGAGGGTTGCTGTGAGTAGGAATTGGCATGATGGTAGTGAATTTTATTTGGTTTTGATTATTTTGGCCAAATCCTACTCATGAAGTAAAAACAATACATTTTACTTTGCTGTAGCTTTGTAAAGATGGCATATAAAAAAACTAGTTAATGTGGCAGCAAAACACTCATACTTACCCCAAGACACCATTAAATAACTTTAAAAATAAAAAGTCAAACACAAACCTTTTGCTGTCAAAGCTAACTCATGGTGAATCTATGTATTTAAAAGTGGAACTTGTGCCCTGTAGAATTCTCTAAGTCTGGGACCTTTTAGAAGTCAAATCTTTCTTCTGAGACTAGACTGGGTGGATCAAACCACTAACATTTCAGTTAAATTCTGAAGAGCTAACTCTGAGTTGTCCAGGGACTTCTGAAAGAATTAAAGGGGACATGCAACCAAATGAAAAATGTAAATAAGAGAGATGACAGCAAAGTATGCTGGGAACCAGAAAACAAATGGACAATTGGTAATACATCAAAAGAAGCAAAAATGTAATCTGGTAGTAGAGAAAGCCTGTGAGCAATGCAGTTTGTAGCACTGACCTCAGAAAGGTTCAACATGTAGGGACACTTTTATTTTCTGGAAGTTGTGGAACAGATGGATTGCAAACAGAAGAATGGGCTAAAAATCTTTATAGAAACAGAAGTATATCCTGGAGCAGCCTGGCTGTCCTTTCCCAGTCTTAGTAGAAGTCCAGATGCTCCCTCCAAGAAAGATTTCTCCATCGGTACACAAAGAGTGGAAGGGAGAGTAACATTCTGGGAACATAGAGAATGAATGCAAAGCTATCTCTATAAGAACAGGACAACTCACAGTCTCCACCTCATCCTTTAATAGGATAGAGAAAGAGTGCTCTCTGGGGCAACTGGTTAATTCAAGAAAACAGAAAAGAAAAGAAAAAAATAAAGACCTCTGAGCCTAATGCAATGAGAGTTCTAGTGTACAGTAAATGCCACTTACTAGAGTTTGCACTACAGTCAGCAAACCCACTGTCTTCTCTCTGCTTTATGCCTTGGGGATTGCAGCACAGCATTTTACCACTAGGCCACCGGAGCTCCCAACAATATTCCACCATCTGACTGATGGCCAAGGATAACAGGACACCAAGGAAAGATTTCAACACAAGAAGCAAAAAACAGCAACAATACAACACTCATGAAAAAGGAAGTCAGAGGTAATAATGAAAGGATCCAGAAAACATTAAAAGCTCATGCAGAGTTTACTAAAATATCTGAGAGATGTTGCCATCTACTTAAATAAAAATTACAGTCTGTGAATAGAAACATAAAAGTAAAGATATTAAAAAAGCTCTTGATGTCAGAAACAAAAAATTCTATAAAAGCATTGCACATACCCCTCCAACTTTTTCTGCCATCAAGATATGATAATTCTTCTTCATCTTCTCCCCAACTCCATTCTTTGTAGATACACTTTATTCCCATGACTGTCAAAGGAAATTCTACCAAGAAATTAAGCCTGAACTCTTGTACATTGAAGTGTATTGTTTATATCTCTGTTCCAGTGTTTTCTGACACATAATTGAAGGATTAGCAGGTTAACTAGTTAGGTCAGAAGAGTTGACAGCTGTCAAGTGGTGGGGAAGAGGATTGGAGAATTGCTTTTAGTTGTTGTTAAGAACCGTAGAGTCAAACTGACTCATAATGACCCTTTCATGGGTTTTCAGAGGCTGAAAACTCAAGAACCATCAGGTGGATTCTAACCACTGTCTTTGGCTTGGCAACGAAATTCCTTACTTTCACTAGGCCGCCAAAGCTACGCCATTTTAGGTGAAGGATGAAAAATTGCAGTCACAAGTATTTACACAATTAAGTCATCTGTTGGAAAGAATTAAGCTTTGCGATTTTAATTAAGCTTTGTGAAAAGCACCTCCACACTTACAGAAGCTAACATTCATTTATGTTTTTAAGTTCTTGGCTTAGTCTCATTTATCTACAGGAACAAAACTACTGAAGCATGTATTAAAATACATTTAATTGTAGTTGTTAAGTGTCATTGATTTGGCTCCTACTCTTAGTGATCATACGTAGAGTAGATTAAAACCTTGGCAGCTTCTGTGCCATCCTCACAATCTCCACTGTGCTTAAGTCCTTTGTTGTAGTTACTGGCTTACCCCATCCCAATGAGGGTCTTCCTCTCTTTTTCTCACCTTGTATCTTTCCAAGCATAAAATCCTTTTCCTCAACTTAGCCCATCCTGACATGACCAAAGTATATACATTAAAAGATTGATTCATTTCCAGGAAATCACATAATTGCAGAGGCTGGTGAGTCCCAAATTTGTGGGTCAGGGGTCATATTGGAGGCTTCACCTGATACATGATGTTTGTAGGGGATGCTCTTCTGGCTTATACCCCAGGAAGTGGAGGTGAGAGAATGTTAAGTCATATGCAGGATGGAGAAAGGATGAGCTTTGTCAGAATGTCCAAAGCTATTGGTGGCAAATCACACCCCCAGGGAAACTCCTTTTTCAGCTGATTTGCAGCCCACATCAGATCACAAAATAGAGGGCAGTAACATCATTTCTGTCCAACCACCGAGGATGATAGCCCAGTCATGCTGACATATAACCTTAGCCACAGTTCTTATTCCAATGAGGGAGAACATGAGCTCTGTATTGAAAGGTGGTTGGCTTTCTAGAGTGGAATACATGAGGAAATATTAAAAAGGAACGAATCAGCATTTTTAATAGAGTGATTAAGTTATTGACAATAAGGTATAAAGTGACTTATTTTAGGAAACAATTACTTTGTAAGACAGCAGAGAGGAATATGATTTTGACAAAATAAATTGCAAGTTTATTTTACAACACCAGAGGGCTCCAAGGGCTCCATTTTTATGGTGTTTCTTGCATCACTAATGAACATTTATTCTCTGCACTCACATTATTACTATTTCTCAGACGGCTGAAGGGCTTGCTTCATCTGTTCTGTCTGATACTTATCTCAAGTCTGTCATTTCTGAAGGTTCTCTGAATAGTCTCATGCACTGATTAAAAGCTCCCTATAATGTCAGAAGGAGCTGGTCCTTGGAAAAAGACATCATACTGGGAGAGGGGGAGGATTAGAGAAAGAGAGGATGAGTCTCAACAAAATGGACTAGCACAGTGACTGTAACAAAAGATTGGGACATATCCAAGGTCTTCAAGATGGTACAGCATAGGGCAAAGTTCAGAGGGTGTCTATGAGTAGCCCCTAGCAACAATGATACTACATAACATCCACGGAGTGCTGCACTCATAACCAAAAGGCCAAATGTCTCTAGCAGTTTGAATACACCAGTGACTTGGTGGAAGAAAGAGTAGTTTACTCTCTTTAAGATTTGCAACCTTGAAAACTCAAAGGAGGGTCACTATCAGCCTTTACTCACTACAGCTCTACTCACTTCAGTGAGTTTAAAATGCCGACTCAACTGAGCTCATTGCCATCAAGTCAGAACTGATTCGTAGAGGTTAACGTGGTGACTGTAACAATAGGTTCAAGTATAGCAGAGATGATAAGGATGGCACAGGGTCAGATCCATTGTTTGTAGGGTCGCTATGAGTCATGATGAACTCAATGGCACCTAATAACAACAATAACAACAAATTGTGTAATAGATTTCCAATCTTCCTCTGGCAGAAATCCTGGTGTATTTGAACTGTCAGAGGGGAATAGCCTTTGATTAACAAAACAACTCCCTCGGGACAATGCCACTAGAACTCCTTTTATAACACTACTAGAAATAGCGACCCTGTGAACAAAGACTGAGCACTGTTCATAGAGTTTCTGGAGACAAGCCATTTTGGAAGTGGATGCCACTCTTGCTTCCAAGCTTGTTTTAACCAGGAAGCTCTGCCAAATACTGTCCACCATGGGTAACCATTAGCGCATTTGGCACACCAGTGTCACTGTGTTCAGCATCACAGCAACCACGAGTTACCTCTGTACAGCAATGCACAGACCAGTGCTATACCACTTAGAAGAATGTTTGACAAAAAACAATTTAAACCAGGCATGAGGGCTGCAGATTACAATCACCCACCTTGGGCTTGGTAGCATGATTTTCTGTCCACTAGGCCAACATAGCTCTCTCTCTGTTCTCATTGTTATTGTTGTTAAGTGTCATTGAGTTGCAGATGACTCATAGTGACCCTATGAATGAAAGACCTGAGCACTGTTCATAGGGTTTCCAGAGGGAAACTATTTCAGAAGTGGATGCCACTCCTGCTTCCAACCTTGTTTTAATTAAGGAGCTCCACCAAACACTGTCCACCATGGGTAACCATTTAAGAAAATAAATGAGAGGAATTAGAAATTAAAATGGAGGCAAATTCTCTGAAATTATAACAAAAAAATGGTGAAGAGAAAAAGGAGGGGGGGGGTGGGACCAGAAGAAAAATCAAAGAGGTGCAATAATGTAATGACTGTAGTTCCACAAAAAGGATTCAGAAAATGGAAGGGAAGAAATTATCACAGAAAGGGTTGAAGACATTTTTCTATAATTGAAAAATGAGTTCACAGCTTTAATGGGTTTATCAATGCCCAATAAAATAAGCAAATAAATAGCCTATTTGAACACATTATTAGGCAATATTAGAACACTTGGGGACAAGATGAAGATGTTAACATTTTCCAGAGGGAAGTAGAGACACGCTAATATAACAGATAAAGAATCTAAATGTACAAAATCTCTGAACAATAATGACATTAAGAGTGAGAAGGCAATTACTATTTTCATTGTAAATTCTGAGTGAAACATTTCCATCTAGGAACTCCATATCCAGAAAACTATTCTTTTTTTTTTCATTCAACAAAAGCTTTATTCCACCATTGTCTCGATCTGCATCCCTGGCCCGCAGATGTCTGTGGGTCAGCAGAGGTGCAGTGGCCGAGGTGACACGGGCTGGGCCAGGCCCGGCCTACTTGGAGCCCCAGCCCGGGAGGCACAGCCATGGTCACTTCTCCAGGGTGGTCACTTCTCCAGGGTGGTCACTTCTCCCGGGGAGCATAGTTGAGCAGCTTCTCAATGAGGTCCACGTGGGCCAGCAGCATGCGGCGGCAGCAGTAGCATTTGAGGCCCAGTGCGTCAAGGGCGTCTCCCTCGGTGTACTCGGCTTGCAGCAGCCCCAGGTAGGCTTCCCACTTGTTGCCCACGATCTTCCCGCAGGTGAAGCAGCGCACGGGGATGATCATGGCTGCAGCTCGACGGGCACGTCTGCACAGCACGCCGGCTCCACCGTTTCCGGCCAGAAAACTATTCTTAAGAATGAGAACAATCTAAAGACTTTCTCGGTTATATAAGGTCCCAAAAGGTTTACTTCTTATGTTCAGGAAACATAAAAAACAAAACAAAAAGAACGAGAAGATATTAGACCCAGGAAGCAGGTGGTTTAAATCAAGAATGAGGTGAAGAGAGTCTTCCGGAGGATTATTGTTGCTTTGTGATGCTGAGTTGGTTCTGACTCATAGCAACTACGTATGATAACGTGGAACCGCCCCAAAGAGTTTGATGCAGGAAATATGAAAAGAAAATGGAAGGAGTACACAGGGTCACTGTACCAGAAAGAAGTGGTCAGCACTGAAATAGCATATGATCAACAATCAATGGTAATGAAGGATGCAGTTCAACCTTCACTGAAGGAACTGACAAAAAATTAAAGCCCCAGGAATTGATGGAGTATCAGTTGAAGTGTTTCAACAAATAGATGAAGCCCTAGACTTGCTCACAAATCTATGTTAAGAAATTTGGAAGAGACCTACTTGGTTAATTGTCTGGAAAAAATAATTTTAAAAAAATCATAATTCAACAGAATGTGGAAATTATCTAACAGTATCTTTAATATCATAGGCAGGTGAAATCTTGCTAAAGATTATTTTGTAATATTTGGAAGGGTACATCAACAGGGTACTGCCAGAAATTCAAACTGTTTTTAGAAGAGCCCATAGCATGAAGGAGATTATTGCTAATGTCGGATGGATCTTGAACAAAAGCTGAGAATGCTGACTGGAGGGTCAGCTATGAGTTGGTTCTGACTACACAGCAATGAGGGTTTTTTCCAAACTGGCAAACACCTGAAGCAATCAGAAATACTAGGCTAAAGTCGGGCACATCTCAGTTCTCAAAAGGACAACTTTGCTTTTTAACATTTCCAAGAAAGCTGTACCTCACCGAGCAGCCGGTGGATTCAAGCCATCTGTCTTTAGGCTGGCAGTGCAATTCCTTACTGTTTCACCACCAAAGCTAATTGGTTAATTGGCAATTGACAACAATAACAAACAACTCTAATTCTCCCTTTTTTTTTGATCCTCAATGCAATTAAAATGAACACTGTAATAAACATTAATCACTTCTAATAAGAGCCAATATAATCTTATCTTTAATTTCAAATGTTCAAGTAGCTTTCTAACTAGACCTCTCTTTAGTGAAAAATAACAGCATTATTTTTAACTAAAAACTTGGAGCATTTTAGAGGGAGCTCTGGTGGCAAGAAGCTGCACTGCAATCCCAGAGGCATGCGGTTCAAATCCACCAGATGCTCTGCTGGGGAAGGAGGGGCAATCTCCTCCCGTACCAGGCAGACCTGTTTTGGCACTACACACACACAAAAATAATATTTTTTTTTAAAAAAAGAACATTTTAAAAGAGTAAGGCCCATGTGAAGATGGCCATATCTTACCTTTATCAACTTCACAGGGCGAAATTTTACCTGCCAATAGCATCAATAACACAAAACCAATTCCCATGAGGTCAGACATGTCCCGCACACTTGCTTACCTCTTTCTACTCATCTCAACACCCATCTTACTGCTTTAGTGGGTCCAAAATCCAAGGTGATAGCTCACAGACCACACATAACCATGCAGGGGAAGTCAAAAGGTTGTAATTCAGATTAATAACAGAATACAATCAAGACAGCTCCCAAAATACATGAGGCAAAATGAGCCTCATGATTTGTGGCTCTAAGTGTTTCCAAGTTCTCTGTCCTGCAAATATTGGCTACTCTGCCAAAATCCATCTAAAATTAATTCTCCAGTTCAACTGTGGTGGCTGCTGCTGTCCCTAAGCATGTCCCACATTTCCCTGTCTCTTCTTCACTGGCTAGGGAAGGTTTCTTTCAACTTCTCTGGCTGGGGAGGAGGATGCCCTCCTTCAATGAGGGGATTTATTGGCAAGCTGATAGCAACCTGCCCACAAGCAGTCTGTATAGGGGGTTCAGCTTTCCAGGGGACAGAGAATCCAGAGAAGGCAAGGAGATTACTTTTTCAGACTTTGATGTGTCTCTAGGCCTTGTCTTTGCCCAGCCTGATAGCAGGCTGCCATCAAAGTCTAAGTGCCACTCAGTCCCAGGTGCAGCATTTCCCCCAGGGCAGCCAGGCATTGGGGGCGGCTGCACAGACATAAGTCTTAGCTGATACTGGTCTCCACCAGCCTCTTCAGGAGAGTGCCCTGTCCTTCAACAGTGGCAGCTTCTTGGGCTGACTGGAGTTGGCTTTCATCACATCATCATGTTCAATCTTCTTTCTGATCCCAACCTCCAGGTTCTTCTGGAGCTTTCACTCCTGCACGTCATAGTGCTTCTGAGGACGATGACGCAGCCGCCCTCCCTAGGAACGGGTTCTGCTCTAAAGCTGCCGCTGCTGTAGCCTTGTTCATGTCCAGCTTCAGCTCCAGGAATCTGTGCTGTCCCTGCACCATGGCTGTGCTTTCACAGGGAAGAGAGGAGCCCTGGGGTGCCTTGAAATGATCTTTCAGACAACTGTTCCTTGAGTATATATATATGACAAAGAGTTTTGAGACAACAGCCTCCAGAGACCAACTTGTCTAACTTTTTTCTCAAATCATGGCATATATGGTTTGTGGGTATCTACTTTCAGCCAATTTTGAGATGCATCAAATGAGGATCTCTTCCCAAAATGATTGAGGATATGTATTGCTTTTATCATTAATAAGAATTGAGGTATAAAACGAAACACTTTTAATTTAATGCTGCTCTCATATATGTAATTTTTGGCAAATCTGTACTCATTTGAAAATGTAGAGTCTGAAATATTTTGATACTATGCCCTTGATGGCACTTAACAACAAACAACAGCAACATGTCATGAAGAGGAAATAGCTAGAATCACAATTAGGTATAGAGTTATAATGTATTTATTCTATAATTAACTGTCGATTTCTTATTCTCAGAACACTTTCACTGAGTTATTTTTGATCCTTCTTCATATTTTCAATGCTGATGTTTGATTCATCATCTGTTGGGCTGCTGCCAAAAGGTCTATGGTTCTAATCCACTAGCCAGCCATTCCATGAAAGAAAGGTGAGGTTGTCAGCTCCTGTTAGGATTTATTGTCTTGGTAATCTGATGGTGGGTAGTCTCACGAGTCTGAATGGACTCAAAAGACAATAATGGATTTGGGGTTATGGTTTTATTTTAGACATGCATAATTTCTCTGCAATTAGTACAGGTAAAGATATTAATGGATTTTTTTTAAAAAAGTTAAATTTGGTTACTGCTTTCATATCTATTTTGATTTGCATATATATTTGTGCATTATAAAACAAGCATTATGCTTATTTAAATTTTCTCCAAATCAAATAAGTAATCTTACTTATATGTAAGAGATTGGGGAGAAGGGTATGTGAAAGCAACTTAAATAACCTCTAAACCCAGTTCCAATTTCTTTCACATTGTGTTCAATTAAGTGCTCAATTAATTTAAATGGATAGACTGTAAATAAAGCAATGCACACGATTATCATCTAATTAGCACTGGCCAGCATTATAATTTGCTCATTAGTGAATTATATAGTATCTTAGTCCCATAATGAGTAATCAGGGTACAAGTGATTAGGATGTAGTTGTCTGGATGCAACTACTCAACCCAACAAATAAGAACTAGGACAAAATGTGCAGAATGAAAAAGAAGAAGAGTACAAAGCCAGCTGGAAAATTGGCAATTTTCTCCTTCCTATAATTCAAATAGAACTCCTATTCTCAAGACACAAAGAAATAGATGTAAGAACACCAAAATAACTAGAGATAGAAAAGGAGGAAATGACACACAAAGTGACAAAGCCAAGTGCCCACCATTGCATTATGAAATGTTATAGGAAAGTGAAAAAATCTTAGTGTTATCTTATTGGTAGAAAAGAAAGAGTCCTAATCTAGAAAGGCATTAGGTCATTTGTTCATACAGTCGTTATGTATCGTGCTTGACTCGAAGGCAATCAACAACAACAATATATAAAGTGTAGAATTAAAGTCAGAGATGAGTAATGCTTGAATAAAATTCCCCGAAAGTTGAAAAATCCAGTGATTTAAATATACCTTATGATACCATTCATAATGTAGTTGTGACTTGGAAAGCATTTCTTGTTATCCTCATTTTGGTATGCTGTTAAGTATAAAACCAATCAGCAGAGTGCAGGAAAGAGTGCCGCCGTGAATTGCATTCATGTTGCATTATACAATAAGCCTTAAAAAGGTATGTAAAGTCACTATGGCAGGCTTTGTAGGTCCACTCGACAATCAACCTTAAACCCTTTTCTCTCACTCTCCTCTACTACAGTGGCTGCAAAGTAAAGGATTCTTCTTCCCAGATTCCCTTGCACCGAGGGGAAGCCACATGACACTATGCTGGCCAATGAAATACAGGAACAACTCACTATGAAATCTGCCAGTCCCTAAATAGAGCTTGAATGGAAGAAAGCCCGCTTTCTTTTTCTTGACTTCCTGGCTGGATGCACAGCAATGATGCTATGGTTGTTTGGACCAGATCCATATGCTCCAGATGGCAGAACAGGAGGAGAGTTCAAATCTAATTCCTGCATATCTTTGAACAGCTGCTCCAGGCTGCTCTGCCTACCTGCAGCCATGTTGTTACACACACACAAAAAATTACAGTTTTCGCTTCCTCAATTTCTTTAATAGGCTTTAGTAGTTATTGCTTATTGTGGCTTAACTCAATGTTAATAAATCAGTAAATTTTATTTTTATTAAGAAAATGCTTAAGCATGAGTATAAAGAAAACAATGTGTTATAGATATACATTTAAGTGACCTTTAAATAATCTTTATATTTAGAGATTTAAAAAAATATTTCCTGAAAGAAATAATTAGACACAGTTGGATTCCCGCTAAATGCTCATGTGATGAAATAAGCTTCAATGAAGAAAGAGGTCCTTGTAGTTCATTCTAGT